AAGATGTCGGCACCATGTGACGAGCAGATACGCAAAACAAAACCGATGCATGACGAACGGAGTCATCAGTCCTAAGTGCTGGGCCTACAAGGAGAGAGTTATTAATGGGGTGTGGAGGAAGAAAAAGGCTGATGGCACCACGCGACGACCGATGTGGAATGAGTTTATTCGTATATGTACGATTCATGGTTGTACGTGGGTTGGGATACTGCCAGGGCGGCCACACCTAGACAGGAAGACGATTAGGGTCCTCAACCAAAGCCTTTGGCTCAAAAGCCTAACCGCAAGGCGGGAAATGCAAATGCATTACCATTTCTACGGAACAAGTCGCCACATGTTCCAACCCCCAACCTGGAGGGCCAGGAGATTGTGTTCGTCAGACCTCTAACCATTGACCAACCTGGTATGAGAGACTCTGTGAGTGTCGCGGGACACTCTCCAGCATAGCTCAATGGATCGCTGAGGTGCGCAAACCGTCACACCACGGTAAGGTCCAGTCTCTTCGTGACGGATTTAAATCCAATACCAGGAATGACACCCCTCTGGACTGTCATTATCACCTACGAGGTTCACCTTCGTAATCGAATTACGTATCGGAAAGGACCTTCCCATGTACCCTACATCTCGGTGTGGAGCACCTTTTGGAACGCTCCATAATCCTAACAACGCCGCCGTGTGATTCACTAGGCACATTGAGCCTTTAGAGTGCCACTATGAAAACGGACGAGTCATCACTAAGCCTGACTACGGCATCACAACGACTGAGGGTATAAGGCGGATTTGCTGATACAAGTAAAAATAGGAAAGCCCTTCGCCCCGAATTCAATTATTAGCAAACATCAACTAAGGCGTTATACGAAACGAAACGAAACGTCTCGTATGGACGTAGTTTTAAAAACTGAGCATTTTCATGTAAATCCTTGAACTTTCATCGGTATTCATTGACTTTTACGCAATTGTATACGAATACTGCAAAGCAGTTCCCCAAGTTCCGTAATAAACTTCACCTTCAAATAGACGCGGGGTGGAGCCTCGACATAACCACAGGCTACTCACATGCCTCACCAGTAATATGCACTGTCACATTAGGTGCACCGTTGCCGGATGGCTTCTTCATTGATGAAATGGACATCAGAAGCACTAAATATCGTTCTGCTACCCCCCAAATTAAGCAATTCTGGTATCGTAATGACCTTAATCGGTGAAAGGCAGGGTTTAGAAGGCGGCAGTGTCCCGTGCTTCCAGGCGCACCGTCTGGCCACCGTGCTGCATACAAAAGACTGTTTAACTATTTACACCTTCAGACCACTGCCCATGCAACATGGGAACATCGAATCAGCAATGCTAAAATTCAACAAAAGGCTTTCGACAAAAATCAAATTATTGCCTAGTCTCAGGTGTTGGTGGTTCTGTAGAACACACTAATATGACTCTCGTCTGAATGATAGTCCTCCTGTCTTGCGCAATCTAGTCGACGAGTTGATTCAGTTACACCAAATACACCAGGGCGATTACATGCTTGTTGTGTCAGCCGGACGACTAGATCGCCATATCATTTGTTAAAGCGAATTTTGACTGATTAAAACACACAGTTAGAAACGCAAGACAACGAGTCTGAGCCGCAACACTGAATGCTGTATGCCGTAATTGGGGTATGACAGATCTATGACATCAATTGAACGTGTACCGAACGACACAGAGGTGGGCTGTTATCCATTCTGTTATCCTTTATCACTACTTCACGGCATCTCTGTTGTTTCTACTTGTCTTCTGTATTCACAGTTTCCCCTCATTTCACACTAACCATCGTTGCATATTGCAATGACCCAATCCACCGTAGTATGCGCGAACCATGGTTGCAAAATTGAATTTGACCGAACCAACTTTACCGACGGTCACAGAAAAATTTGTAAAAGTTTTAACCCACTGTTGGTACCACTAACGAGCTACATGGGCTGTACGTAAAGAGGGGAGGCGCTCCACGTAAACTTAAATGGTACTCGATCCAGTCTTTAGCCACAACGCAGACGCGGTGGATGAAGTGACGCATGTATTGAGTGATGTTACACAAAAAGAGCATCGTAGAGTGCAAGTGAAACAACTATTTCAGTAACATCGTCCATATCGAGTACCTTGCAATATGACCTCTATTAGTGGTGTTCACTTATTCCTGCCGGTGATAGACAACAATGATTCACGAAGCCAATAACAAGCGATCATACGATAATTTTTTTATTTCCATGTCAACTGTACAATAAATGTGACCGCACCGTCTTCCTGGATCTCAGTGACCTCTGGCCTGAATAGCCCACTGGCATCGACAGCTTCTACAAAGTCGCACAGTGTACCACCAGGTCCGTAGGCAGCTTTGCACATAAGGAATACGGAACCATCCTTGTTCAGTGTCGCAGCTACGGCTCGTAACAGACGGTCGTATAGATCTGGTCGATATATTGTTTCAGCCGTTAATATAATGTCATACGGTTGTTCTCTATCCGACTCCCATCTGCGTGCTAATTGCACCCAGTCACCACTGTAGAAATTAACAGATGATCGCAAGGTCTCTGCGTCAAGCGTGGAACCCAAATTGAGCAGTACGTTTGGGATCGTCCAATTAGTTATCACCTCATGATTGTAGTCCTGGTGAAAATGATATAAAGTTACACAAGAACTAAGGACGGATATTGTGGGTTAGATGAATATCTAACAAAGTATTTTACAAACGGTATTCTTCAAAAGGGACTGTCTGTGGGATAGGAAAGATACTACCAGTTTTGATGAGATAAGAAGACAAGAGCAAAACTTGTTACATGTTACAGAACGGAGCACTGCTAATCGTGCATACGATAATCGGTGATGCAGACTGATATGTTTCAGATTCTTTATGAAACCATAGGCTGCGATCCAGCGAGTTGTGTTGAGTCGGCACTCCTTTCATCCGAAGATTTCCTACAACAGCGAAGCCTGAACTTTCGAATGGATGACAACTCTTAGTACCAATTTCCCAGGCTGTGTTAACTGGGACCAAAATTCATTTAGTGCGCCATTTACAGCAAATGGAACTGGAGGCCCGCATGGACCGCGCTCACGTGCGTAACCTTGAACTCTTTCAACTTTATCGCGTTGTTCTTCTAAGAACGTCATAATTAAGAAAATCGATTATGTTACATGGGTACTCAGGTTTGCATAGTCCCAAATTACCTGTTAGTTCATTTGCTAACTTTTCGTAAGACAGATCGACACTATAAAGTACCCCGCTTTTCACACGGTTATTTCACAGTTGAAGACTTGGAGTGGTACTGCACAACGTGCGAGTTCAACCCGATCAGCCGAACAACAGCGACATTCCTCCACCTTCGAAATCATTTCGGAGCACGGACTTGGTGTCCATGTGAAATGTTCCCTTTGAATTGCAGAATAGTGTGAGAGGAGGCATATTTTGTCCCAAGGTTCTTAGATGTAGGACGTAGGCTGTCGTCAGTACAGATGGGAATCTGACCACCCGGGAGGGAGCAGATGCCAAAAACAATTGAAAACGAAGTAGACACAGACACTAGCCCACTAACACACCATAATGCTGTTCGATTTGAACAAAAAGGCATCAAAACCAATGGGGTCCTGGTGTCAGTGGTGTTAAGAGTTCATATAGTGAGACCAACCTGAAACGTTACCACAGAAGCACCATACTTCAGAGCTGTGAGGCCAGGCAGTCCACATCCACAGCCAAGTTCCAGAACGCGCCGACCACAGAACACACTGGGAGAAAATTTTCGGGCTAGGTAGGCAATCAACTGCTTACTTCCATCCCAAACAGTCAGGCCACCTTCCACAACACCAGGAATGACATCTCGGCCAGATTTTAACGCCGACTCTATCGCGCTGTCTTCCGCTTTGTGAATCCGTCCTGACTGGGGTTGGCTTAGGAATCTTTCCAGGTCCGAAGGACACAGATATAGGAGCTCTGTGGAAATCAAAAGGAACACTTTGGCATCCGAAAGATACTGGAAACAATCAAATTTTAGAACAGATTGAGAAGCTATCATTCAGGAGGCCTCAGTAAACAAACCGGTTTTTAAATAGGCAATTTCAGTTGGCGGTGGGTGGGTGAGATTAATCGGAATTCCCAGTCGGCTTAATTTATGCGCTTCAGATCTAAGCTACTTCCATTGACTTCTCTTCCTGATAACCGCACATCAACACGTGTCAGCTCGACTGATCTAAAACCGTTCTCCATACGTTTGCCAGTTCTACGCCTTCTATTCCATTTACACTGGGAAGCTTGGGGATTTCCACCACCCCAAAATTCCAATATTTTCTGAGTCTACTTTGTGTCCCGTGTCCAATGCATGTTCCACCGTTGCTGAGCCTTTCATTAATGGTCGATATTCTGCGGCCTGTTTATTTTTCTCCTGTATTCTCTGGTTCTGGTGTGAAGTAACTTGATCATGCCCTATAAAGACTTTAGTGGAGTCGTTGAATTTAATTTTGTGGATACAGTCCCTAGTTCTGTTCGCCGGAAGGCGATCCTTCAATCACATCAGTGCAGAGAGCAGATCGATACTCTCTTGCAAAGCTAATTTAATGTTAACCGTGTGTATAATCCTTCGAATTACTTCGGATATTCCCTGGCTTATAAGGAACAACGACAATCCCAATCCATTTCGTTGAGTTTCGCCACAGGTATCAGTATCTCTTTTAAACGACACCTGACCAGGTGTTTGTTCCTTACTTCAGTTTGGGCCGCTATCCGGTCAACTTGTGCTCTGCACAGGGCTTTTACTCGACTAAGCATTGATTAGACAATACTAGCGACGGCCTCTTCACTCCTGCAATTTTGCACGCTGCGAACCTATCCATCATCATCACCATCCATAGGAGTATAAAACTCTTCTTGGTTTGGTTTGACTGTTGGATTAAACGACATGCTCGGTGAGGTACACAGATGTTAAGTAGACAAATGCCTCATGCAATCAAGATGAAAGTGGGTGTCAGTGAACCTCACAAAAGGTGTAAGAAACAATACGTTAATGACGGCTACGTCATGGCTCGAAATTCATTTACTGAGAGGATGTACTGGCATTATCTTTGTTTTGTAGCCAGGCAGCCTCACTTTAGGACCGCTTTTCCTCTCACATGAATAACGAATCTGAAAACTAAACAAAGCATTAGACGGGTTTCAAAATTCTGCACTTTTCCTACGACGTAGTGCGAGCGAGACCGGCACCAGGAAATCTCGTACCTTGGGGTCGAAACGGAAAGGGAACACCAGGAAGCGTAGTATTTTATCCCGGATGCTTCCAAGCATATGAACTAATCAGTCCTAGTTTCGAAGGATCAGTTACCCATAGCTGAGGATATGCAGAAGTCACACGCAAATCAGGGAACTCTGAACCAAACTTCAGCCATTTCGAAATCCAAAACAAATTTAAAATGACTCGAACACAGAGCTTAATCTAGAATCGGTGACACAATCACCATCATAGATAAAACTCATCAAGCTGGAACCAATGAAGCCTACCTGAAACGGAAATTTTAGAACCTACCAAGACCATCAACCCGGTGGGTCATTTTCCGCAGCTTCAATACATCTGCGTTTCCTGTTCAGCGATCCATCATTTAAAATGCATTCACCAACCATCGGTGAGAGAAAACTTGCCAACATCTGTTATATACCCTGGCGATGAATCGAACTCTTCAGTCTTTCCAGTACGTTGAGGGGTATAAAAGCCAAACTGAAACTGGGTGGAAAAAGATAAACCAATAAGTAAGAAAAGTAATAACATTCGGATCGGCAATTTGTCTTGTCTAAAGAGGAGCAGCCTGACAACCAGTGTTAGGCTGAAACCACGTACCTTTCGATCAGTAGCTCTGTGCATTACCAGCTAAGATATCCGATTGTCATCATCATTACCTAGAGCATATCACTGTTCAACACTGATGCTTCGCTGCCGTACAACAGTGATTCATTCGAAAGCCTCATAGTTGACCGTGACTGTCGGCGCATTATTCAATACGGTCGAAATACTTTTAGAAACGAATAACCCAGTGATGCTCAAAAGGCTGTACGCAGCCGCACCGGGAGCCAGTAATCCCCTACTCCCTGTGCCCTCAAATCAAGCCTACCCCCTACATCCAAGCACGTCAGACCTGGGAAGGGTGCCCCAAGAAAACCCTAGCACCCGGTACAGACTCTTGAGTCAGAGGCTAGGGTCCCCGAACAAGACCCTACATCTTCCCACTGCCTTGTGGGTCACACTTTTGAGTCAAAAGCTCAAGGTGGGGTACCTCAACTAAAGCCCCTCCTTCGGCCTGGGCAACCGGGAAGTATCATATGCCCTCGCAGCTCTTGGCCTTCCCGCTCATTCCCTTCTAACCCAGACAGAATCGTCAGAATCAAGCTTGGTTTCGCCCCGGTCGATGATGCATCGACCAGATATTTACCTTGAGACAAATTCTTGAACAGCGCCACTACTTCAGACGTTCCACTTTGGTCGTTTTTCTGGATCTGAAAGCTGCTTTTGATTCTATCAATCGACAGCCAGTGGCTGGCACTCAAAGGCGTCCATTCAAACTTGTATCCCCTATGAGGGCACTGTATGCGAACTCCTGTAGGTGCGTACGAGCACACAGGGAGCTCGCTTCTAAGTTAACCACGTCCAGTGGTAAGACACGGCCGTCCTTTTTCCTCCCTTTCCTATTCATCTTCGTTATCTACGTGCTGCTTGAAATTTCTCTGAAACCTCGGGAGTCGAGATGCTGTCAGGACGTTGCTCGACAGACACTGAATATGCAAAAGATATTACTTTCCTTGGTTCAAATCCTTCCCAAATGCAAATAACTCTGCCGCACGGTTTGGTGTGCGCTTCACACCTCAAACTGTAAAGTGCTGATACAAGACTGGGTGGGATCAAACCCATACCTCATGCTCGCAGGTGAGCCAATCGACGCGTTAGATGAATTTTTTTACCTGGGAAGCTGCATACTAACCCATGCAAATCCCGCAACAGCAGCCTCTGGATCACCAAGATTGCGTAGCCTGTTCTCGGTTACCCGCCCCGCTTCATGCAGCGAGTAAGGCGACCCGGCTAACGACACTACGCGACAGCAGATGTGGCGTGATTTTATTGTTAGACTTAAGTACCATGGTTGTACGAGGGCTGAAATACTGTCAGTGCGCCTACATATAGACAGGACGATTAGGGTCCTCAACCAAAGCCTTTGGTTCCAAATCCTAACCTTAAGGCAGAAGTGTTTGGCGGGAAATGCAAATGCAATACCACTTCTACGGAACAGGTTGCCACAGGTTCCAACCACCAACCTGGAGAACCAAGAGACTATGTTCGTCAGACCTCTAACCGATGACCAACCTGATATGAGAGACTCTGTGAGTGCCGCGGGTACACCCCCATTATAGCTCACTGGGCCGCTCAGGTGCGCAAACCATCACACCATGCTAAGGTCCAGTCGCTTCATGACAGCAAACCCGGTTGACATTTTTAGTATTGTTTCAGCCCCTACTATTCTTCAAAAATGAGAACAGTTTCGTTTGCATATTCCAGGTTGACAATGCTTTCCATCGGAGAGATCTTAACACTGAAATTCCGGAAAACTTCCAGTGTCCGTCTCAGTACCATATCAACGAAGAAAATAAACAAAAAGAGGTAGGACATCTCTGCGTGACACCTCTGCTAGTAAGAAGGCCTTTTGAGAACTAGCCATACACTCTCAAGTGTGTGAATACAGGCAGCGTATGACATACAGGAGCTGCTGGGATGCATTGTTTTACACGTCGAAAAAAATAACCGGTGAACAGAATCGAAAATAATGTGGCAGCCATGGAACACGAAGATTGTGGGGCGCCTACATGCAAGTCATTGCTCTACCATTTGACGGGACATGAACCTGTTTTCCACAAAACCTCCACGATCGGAATTCCGCTTGCTGATCTCGGGTCCCGTCTCAGCGCGTCTTCGCAAAACCACGTAAAATAAGCCGCGCAAACAATCTGGCTGCAACGTGAGTCAAGCTAAATCTTGTGATTGCCATACTAAAAGACAATCATTCACCTGTAACATCCTTTCGTAGCTGCCTAGCTGCCATGCCACCCAAAGGGAGCATGCGGGTTGGGATACTGCCAGGTTGTTCAAACCTCGGCAGGGAAAGTCGACAGGCAGAGGTCGGGTTCGGAGCATGGGCCTTCTGGCCAGTAAATTTGCGCTCTGGCCACTTGAGCCATCCCCACTACCGTGGTATGTATACGTTCGGAAGTCCGCTTGCTACTGCCTAGTACCGTCTTAGTGCGCTTTCGTGAAACCACGTGAAACCGCAACCACGCAAACAATCTGGTTGCGATGTGGGTCGAGCTAAATCTTCTGCGATCACCATGCTGCTAAAGCCTTTTTAAAAATGTGTACTACCATGAGCTCACCCCAGTTACTTGGGTGAATAAGTTTTGCAAGCACCGGAGGAGTTCATCTCCATCTTTGAACACAGTGGATGGGGGTTCTTCAGAGCCAGCAACTAGATGACTCTTGACGGGTAAAAACCGGCCGTTTATTGTCGCAACCGTCATTGGTTTCAAATTCACTGTCCAGGAATGAGTTGAGAATCACACTAAAGATGGCCAGCTGAAGTTTTATAGAACTGACTCAACCTACCGACTAGCTACAAGCCAGTCGCTGTTATCAGTGGCCGTTTTGCTCACATATCCGCAAGGCAGTTAGTCAGGCCATTGAACAGCCTGGTACAAGATACCGTGTGGGCGTCACACGTACATTCAACAGTATAGCTCAATGGGTTATGGAGGTGCAGAAGCCCTCGTACCGGTCTTTCCGTGGCGGTCTGGTGTGCGACAAGATTATCAACTTTCATCGTTGTAACTTAAACTGGAACCGGCTGATCACCCGGGTGGACATTCAAGGAATATTTTAGATTTTTTAGACTCCTTTCAGGTTCTCATACGTGAATAGCCTATACGGAGCATGTTGATATCATTCCGTTCGGCGATAAGAAAAAACTTGAAACAACTCAGTGGAGGCCCAAGGTACTGTAGGTGTGCGACAGGATACAGGCCTGATCTCACATCTAGTAGATGATGTGACAATGGTGAGTAACCTAGTAACTCGAATAACAGAGGACTGAGCATTGGGTATGGGTGTAGAGTACACATGGACAGGCTTGCGGCAATCAGCATTGGAATAAAAACAAGCAGGCAAGTGAGGATTGCGTGATCGAATGGGTCGGAGATGTCGACCGAGTGGCGGGTGACGTTGGTTAGTATTTAGTGTCGAAATGGTGACCACGAGAGTTTCCGTCCCGGCCAGGACAACCGAGTAGATTCGTTTTAAACTGAATAAAAAATCATTGTGAACCCATTACACCATTCACGTGGCTAACCAGTTAGCAGGCGTCCGCTCCTGGGTGCAGAACCTGTGCAGAACTTCTGCACTAATTTTCGGCTTTTAAGCCTCGGGAGATTGAGACGTTTAATAGGCATCATCATCATCATCAAAGACAGCAACATCAGTGTTGGCACTGATGCTTCACGGCCGTATTTTTGTACGGGGGCTGGGATACTGCCAGGGCGCCCACACCTAGACAGGCACCTAATAGACATCAGAGCTTCTTTATTTGTCTCACAGTAATAAAAACCACAATACCCTGCATTTCCGTGTGTCTAGGAAATGCAAACGGTCAACCGATTCAAGTGGTTTTGTTTTACTGTGCGGCGCCATTGCTCGCGGGATGCTCTGCGTTCTGCTTGTCCTCACGTGCGGCTGAGTGAGTTTTGTTGTGCTTCCATATGTTTTATTCCTGGTGTGTTTACGTGAACGAAACCGTAGAAAATATTTTTTCATATCAAGTAGCCGTCAGTGCGCCCGAAATTTGTTCGTGTTGCTCGTAAAGGCTCTTCAAGAACAACGCTATACAGGAAAGTACGACAGGCGGTTGCGGCAAGTGGCTGTTTTCGTTGCCCGACTGATGAATGCGTCCATAATGCCTATAGTCGACTATCTGAGGGTAAGATTCATGATTGATCAGATGATAGGCTCTAGATATGCCGAATTTGACCGTTCCAGGTGATAAACCAGGCTGCGATTTACCACGATGTTCGCCGGCGGTTTCCCCGATCCCTGTTATCAGGACTTTGGAACCAGGAAGACATTCACCACTACGGTCCCTGGAGAACCTTTCGGTTCCTGCTTTTCGCCATAAGGTAGCCCACTGCAAGTCGTTGAAGGGATCAGTCCGTATGTTCTGCTTGCACTTATTGCTTTTCATCAGTATCCTTTTTAAACCATTCACAACCAAGTAGAAGTATTTTAACGGCTGTTCGTCGGATGGCGCGAAGGCTGAACCTACCTTTATCCGGTTTAGCCGTTGTGTTGGACGAACTCATACTTTTTTCCGTCTCTTCCGAAGGATCCACGGACCGTAATGAAAGCCCCCCGTCGTTGCTGCGTGTGACAGAAGGCCGGTGGGATGTACATCCATCTTGGGTTGAAAGCAGGTTTGCTGCAACAGCTCCGTGAGATCCAGACTACGGTTACTAATATCGAAATTCAAATGAACGTTGACGGTATTCGGGCCTACAATAACTCGCATACTCAGGTGCAGCCTATACTCTCCCGCATAATTTCCCCCTTTCTCGGTCAGCCTTTCGTCGTTGGAATATACTGTGGTAAGCAAAAGCCCAATGATGCTCATCAGCCGATGTCTGACACGGTCGCTGAGTTGACAGACGTCTTTGCGAACGGTGTCTCCGGGGTTTACAATACTCACACCGTCCGTCTTCAGTGCATTATTTGCGGTAGTCCTGCTAGGGCCTTTCTGAAGCAAGTGAAGGGGCATACAGGACATTATGGCTGTGATTATTGTGCACAAAGGATGTGCACATTGGCACACGTATGACTTTTCCCTGGTTGACAGCTCCCTTGCGTCGTGACTATGATTTCCGGACCAGAAAGCAAGAGAAGCACCATACAGGTCCAAGTCCGATGGAGGAGTTAAATTTTCCCATGATTGACCGTTTCCCACCAGATTACATGCATAGTGTGTGTCTTGGTTTAGTGACGAAGTTTCTCAGCTTACTCAGAGCTATGCCAATTGGACACAAGGCCAGGCTTTCTTTGGAGTCCTGGAATCTGCTGAATGATAACATTGAGCAACAGAGTTTGGCTCTGAGTATTCATTTCCCCCGAAAATGTCGAGGTGTCGTAGACCTGGATCGGTGGAAGGCATCTGAGGTACGGTAGTTTCTTCTGCACATAGGACCCGTTTTTCACGAGATATCTTACATCCTGACGTTTACGAATGTTTCATGTATTTTTCGGTAACCACTTTCACAGGCTGTTCACCTTTTTTTCACAACACTATGCTGATTTTTTAATTGATGTTTCCAAGGTTTCTGTGTCAAAATTTGCTGCTATTTTTGGTCCCAGCCATTTAGTCTACAACATACACCTCTTCTCCCATTTATTCAATTTCGTCAAGCTTTATGGTTGCTTGGATCGTTTTTCCTGTTTTCCCTATGAATCGGAGCTGGGACATTTGAAGCATTACATACATGGGCCAAAACCACCAGCTGTTCAGCTTTATCGCCGACTGGCCGAGCGTGTGGGATTGGATGCTGTCGAAAGGAAGATATTTTTGGATGATGTTGGTTTGCGACTGAGGCCATCAGCCACTTCTGGATGTCACAGGTTTATTCATAGGGATGTCGTGTTTTCGAAAAACTTTCCCGACAACTGCATTTTGCTTGATGGTCAACCAACTGTCATTGTAGATTTTTCTGGAGATACTATTGAGTATCAGAAATTCAAAACTGTTCTCCCGCTTTACACTCACGTATTGATATCGACAGACGTTTTAGTTTTGCAATGCTCTGACTTACAACACACTCGGTTGTTTGCATCAGTCGACCAAATATCTTCTGCAGAGACACTCGTATGTACTTCCCCATTTTGCATACCCTTATCGATCAGTTAGTACTCTTACCACTGGCACTCGACACATGTATGCATTTATTACTTGTATTACTCATTAGTTCGTAAAATATGTATACATATTTATGTTGATGTGTTATTCCATCAAAGCTTCCGTTTGCATGTGGACATTCTCTTGCTAAATGTCGTATTTGGAAGTTGTTTTTCAGCCATGTACGCTGTTCTCATATTTACGGACAACTCTGTTGGCATAGTGCATGAATCGTGGTTCGTACCGCCCGATTCAGCCCTTTGGCCCTCGTGCACAACCAGCACTCTTTATACCAACTTACTTAGGGGTGCTCTATCAAAATATCCACTTAAGTCGTGCACGTACGAAGTGTATCGACGGTGCAGCAAGTTCGTCTTCAGTTAAAAATGTTCTAGAAACTTTTCCGGATGCACTGAGTGCTCAGTAGGAAGCCCTTGACTCAGGGCATACCTCCTCTGCAGAGCAAAACGATGAACGGCTGGTACGTCAATCCAGGCGCAAACAGTATGTTGATCAATCGTATTACGATGGTTGCAGTACAAAGAAACGGCTGTCTGAATTTACAGACGGGTCGGATCGTAATTCTAGTGGTGACATCACTTTGTCTGCAAACATAGTCGTAAGCCCACCAAGTCCACAAATACCGTAGGTACTCTCGCACCTACCAACTTTCCAAGTTGTAAAATCCTCATTTTCAGACGTACCAATCCGACTGCCGCAATTAGTGGATCATTCCTGTTCAAGAAGCGCCAAAGGTCCCTGGTGATGCCCTGATGATATGTGGAACGTACGTTTTATTTCATTACCACCATCTAGAATCTATCAGCAGTTCCACGTATACAACACTTCCCGCCGTGGGCGATCCAGAACCAGGCAGTTCTACCCCGATCCTCAGGTTTTCTTAACATTCCATGTACTTTACTTTCTAGAACTAACTCTCCAAATTCAAAGGCCAGCCTAATTTCTGACCAACCTCATTCTCAGTGAGTAGATTACCATGTTTTGATTAAACTATTTTATGGAGAAATTAGAGAGAATCTACTCGCTGCTCCAGAGAATGCATATGAAGCTGGACTCTTTAGTACCCACAAGCAGTTCTCAGACATTCGACGAGCCCCCTTTTCCGCTGTCATCCATGGATGATCTCCGAAAGTATGAAGAACATCTAAGAGATGGTCCACGCTATGCACAGCTGGTAAGTATTATTCGTAGTCAGGATTGTTGATTTCATAAAGGTGGAAAGGTGGCTCTTGCAGGAGGCTGGAGATGTACAAGTGTACGTGACCAACATGCTTACGCGGACGTTGACACCAGGGATAGCCGTACTACTCAACTGGCGAGAAATAAATGAAAAAGAAGCCTCCGGATCAACCAGGCTGGCCCATATGTAAAATCAGAGAGCCGTTTCTTTGTACTGCAACCATCGTAATACGATTGANGACTTGCAACACACTCGGCTGTTTGCATCTGTCGACCAAATATCTTGTGCATGCTTAATTTTTTGCCGCACAGACACTCGTATATACTTCCCCATTTTGCATACCCTCATCGATTTGTCAGTAATCTTACCACTGTCACTCGACACATGTATGCATTTGTTACTTATTTTACTCATTAGTTCGTAAAATGTATATACATATTTATGTTGGTGTTTTGTTATTCCATCAAATCTTCCGTGTGCATGTGGATATTCTGCTGTTAAATGTCGTATTTAGAAGTTTTTTTCAGCCATGTATGCTGTGCTCATATTTGCGGACAACTCTGTTGGCATAGTGCGTGAATCGTGGTTTGTGCCGCCCGATTCAGTCCTTTGGCCCTCGTGCACAACCAGCACTCTTTATGCAAACTTACTGAAGGGTACTTTGCCGAAATGTCCACTCAAGTCGTGCACGTACGAAGTGTATCGGCGGTGCAGTAAGTTCATTTTCAGTTAAAAATGTTCTAGAAGCTTTTCCGGATGCACTGAGTGCTCGGCAGGATGCCCTTGACTCAGGGCATACCTCCTCCGCGGAGCAAAACGATGAACGGCTGGAACATCAATCCAGCAAAAACAGTATTTTTACGAATCGTATTATAATGGATGTAGTGCAAAGAAACGGCTGCCGTCTGATTTTACCGACGGGTCGGATGGTGATTCCAATGGTGACACCACTTTGTTTGCGAACATAGTCATAAGCCCACCAACTCCAAAAAGACTGTAGGTCCTCCCGCACCTACCAACTTTTCAATTTGTAAAATCCTCATTTTCAGATGTACCAATCCGACTGCCACGATTAGTAGTCTCATTCCTGTTCGAGACGCGCCACCCGTCCCTCGTGATGCCCCGATGATATGTGGAACGTACGTTTTATTTCATTACCACCATCAAATAATCTATCAGCAGTTCCACGTGTACAACACTTCCCGCCGTGGGCGATCCAGCACCACGCAGTTCTACCCCGATCCCCAGGTTTTCTCAACATTCCATGTACTTTACTTTCTAGAACTAACTCTCCAAATCCCAAGGCCAGCGTAATTTCCCCGGATCTGGCCAACCTCATTCTCAGTGAGTAGATTACCATGTTCTAATTAAACTATTTTATAGAGAATTTAGAGAAGATTTACTCGTCGCTCCAAAGACTGCACATGAAGATAGACGCTCTAGTACCCACTAGCAGTTCTGAGGCACTCAACGAGCCCCCTCTTCCGCTTTCATCCATGGATGATCTCCAAAAGTATGAGGAACATCTAAGAGATGGTCCACGCTATGCACAGCTGGTAAGTATTAGTTGTAGTCACGATTGTTGATTTGACAAAGGTGGAAAGGTGGCTCTTGCAGGAGGCTGGCGATGAACAAGTGTACCTGACCAACGTGCTTACGCGGACGTTGGCTCCAAGGCTGGCCGTACTACTCAACTGGCGCGGGATAAATGACAAAAATGTCTTCGGTTCAACCAGGCTCGCCCAGAGACTTATTTGTAAGTAGTCAATTGTTATTTTATATTTAGCTAGTTGAATCAGTGTCTAGATGAAGCTCAATAACTGTATTCTTCATTACAGACGCGGCAACTGAGAAATTTCCGAACACAAATCCGCGACAAGTAAAGGAAATCGTTCATCGCTGGCTGGAGAACGAACGGCAGAAAGTTCGGAAACGCCTGCAGAGAACCACCAAGAATGACAAATGATCTTCCCCCTGTATTTTTTATATTTCACTCATTAAAACATTTGTACTTGAAGGCGCTTATTGATATCCGGAAAGGAAACTTGTTTCATTTCCGCACTGGTTCCGCACCCGGGTGCAGACATTCTGCAGAAATTTCTGCACCGATTGGACTTTGGGCTTGATGAACCCGATGCTTAAGAATCTGGTTCAAAGTTCTGCGGTATTGATTACTCAAAGGCGATAAATTACACGATTGTTGGCGTTGGTATCAACCTTTCGCTGACCGACACAGTGTAGTGTCATGGCTTACATACCGAACAGCAGCAAGCGGAATTTAACATTCCGCCGTGGTGGGCGTTGCGGTCGTCCCTTCTAAGGATAGTCTTGTGGGTCCGATTGGCGCTGCGACCACAGAAATCGTAAAAATGGTCGGGGTACAGAAATTAGAAGCGAAAGGTGGTAGCAGTGTTATTCGCCTACGTCTGGATAACCCTGTCGGTCACACTTGGTCGCTGCAGCGACCAATGAGCTTTACTCACAAGCGGTTGGTCAGAAAACGGGTTACCGACAAACCCAACATCAGGGAAGTCTTTGGGCGCCCATTAGTCTGGGTTTTGTGCAGCTTAGCCTGGAAAGCATACATCCATTCTCAGTATGAATATATTATAAATTTATCGTAACAGAGATGGGATTTGGCTTGAAATATATCCTCAATCTCAGTTCGGTTAACATGTAACTTGTGGAAGGTGGCGGATTCCGAGGTCTGAAATCGTTTGATGAAAAATAAGTGTATATAGGGATATCAGGTGACGTCATCCACCAAGTCTAAAAGATATGCCAAAATGGACCGTCCCGAATGGCTTCCGGAAACCGTTGCTCACATTAAACATCCAGCCTTATCAGACTTATTGTTCCAACTCAACTGAAGCACATCATCGCGAAGGATTCCGATGTCGACAGATCGGATGAGACTCTGATTAATCTCCTGAACAAACCCCATGGAAATACCCCAAAGTTAAGTGTCAGTACGTGGTCCGTATTTTCAATACCTATGTTTTAGTGACACCTAGTTGTCCGAACAGCTTTTCACGATCAGCCCTTCTGGCGAATGGTTGCAGGGCACGAAACCGAATGCCTCCCTCCGCTTAATGATGTACAAAACTGAGTTGATGCAAGTTGTGCGGAACCTCCGAAACTTACCCTCTGGCAAGGAACGTGAACCTTTATCGCAACATACTCCGTTCGCTCTAACCTTAAACAACGGTGAAAATGCTATTATAGCCTACACGATCTCTTTCCATATACCGGAGCACTTTCATCCTCAGGTCGTTCATTAAATCGGCCAGTTAAATTGTCAAAACAAATGGCGAAATACCGTTTCCATGCTGACTTCGATGGTTCCTCCAATCGAACAGTCAAATAAAGGCTTTGTTAAATTGATCCCGTTACCAGTAGGCTAGCCGCAATGTAGCTGGCTGCGCATAGACGGTCTCCATATATCCAGTGGCCATAATCCAATCACGTTAAAGATTATTGAGATCGAACCACAGTCGCATGAGCATCTCTTTATCTGTTTACTTTCCTCTCTCTGATTCATTCGGATATGAATAAAATACATGTCTTGTCCTCCCTTCATACACCCCAGGAGTTGGTGTATTTCTATTCCAATAGGCTATTTGTCCGATCATAGTCCCATGCATGCACTAGCTACTCGTAGGCGGCTTAGTGACCCAGAGATCATTTGGCATCACGAATTGGCCCTCCTTTTTTATTCAGCCTTGAAAATCTCCCCATCACTTCTCACTGTCACAAACACTCCAACCCAAAAAGCTACCGATTTTTTCAGCGTCCCTCAATTCTCAAAAGGTACTTACCGGCGGACACCATATAACTGCTTTGTCGGAGATGACTAGCGGGCTTTTCTCCGGAATTGCATTTCTACTGGCGGATTGCTACTCCCTTCGTTTTGGAGTTCAGATCTGCCTCATGGTTATTCTATTAGCACCCAATGGCCTGATTTTCTTGAACCGCGATACGATGTTGGATCCTGACCACTAGACAAAGGGGCGGTGACTTGTGCAGCCTCGAACATGTTTTATTCTCAATAATAATAATAGCCTTATTTAAAAACATGCACGGAATACACTAATTGCGGTATGATCGAGGCGTTAGAACCCAAACGCGGCGGGTAACAACACGACGGTGAAGGGGACACAAACAACAAGACAAGCTTATCACTTTAAAAAGCATCGGATTTGCGTAAACAAAAAACTAGAAAAATGAGAATGAGGTATGGTTAGCTCAATAATAAAGCCGGTTGACTTGGACTAAAACTAAAAAACCGTTACTGGCCATGGTAACCTTGGGTGGTTAGGTAAGTAACCAGGGTCACAAAAAGCACAAATGATGAAGTGGAGACAAGTGGCAAGTTCCGTGTCAAAAATATGGTTTACGGTAAAGCTAATAGACCCGGTGGTGTCGCTTTTGTTGAGAAGCCAGGAATGTTTCGATGGGGAGTCGTGCTAACGCATAGGGTCGAACGAACGCTAAATAAATCGTTTAATTTGCGCAAGGTATAAACTGAAATTGCCACGTGATTCCAGGACGTTAAACTCCGAATGAAGGTTCC